GGATACACCTGAAGAAAAGAATCATTCATGGGACAGAACAGGGCAGCAAGAGATTTTATCACACTACTCAGAACAGTACACAATTTAAAACTTGTTGTTTATGGCTAGGACTTTTCATTTAATATTTTTGGACCATAGGTGTCCACAGGTAACTGAATGTTCAGAAAGTAAAACCAAAAGTTGAGTGCAGTGCCACACACCTGTAATTCCAGTTACTCAGGAGACTAGGGCAGGATCATAAAGCGATGCCAGCATACTGTGTTAAAATTTAAAAATCTCACAAAAGTCTGGAGATGTAACTTCCCTGGGTTCAACTGTCCGTAACACAAAAGGAAGTAGAAAAAAGGAAGGAAGGAAGGAAGGAAGGAAGGAAGGAAGGAAGGAAGGAAGGAAGGAAGAAGAAGGAAGGAGGAAAGGAGAGAAGGAGAGAAGGAGGAAAGGAGGGAGGAAAAAAGAAAATGAAAAAAAGCAAAATCAAGGATGGGGTAAAAGTACTACCATAATTTTTTATCTCTCTTTTTAAAATCATCTCCAAATCATGATTTCTGAGGCAGTACTGTCGTCTATAACAAAGGCCTAGTGAACTGAGAGCTGACTTGCTATTCTGTTTCCACGGCTTACTTTGGGAGGGAGGTGATGGCAGGGCGGTGGTGACAAGGGGTGGCGACAAGGGGTGGCAGAAGGGGAAGGTAGGTAAGGCACCAGCCCATGGAAATGTGGTCGGATTTACTGAGTCTCCTTTGTTAAAGAAACCCAGGCTTTCTGCCAATCAGTGAAGACCTGACTTCCACTGAACCTCTCTGAATCCTAGTTTCTCAGATGTAAAATGGAGAGAAGGCTGTCTCCCACACCTGTCTCATAGAAATCTTTTGTGGAGTAATCACAGTAACAGGAAAATCTGAGGTAACAGTGAATCAGTTTTTTTGTATGAACCCAACATATAAATATAGATGAAAGGCCAATAAGTGATGAGATTGATGGGGTTTTCTATCATCTCAATGAAGTATATCCACAGCCAGCGTGCTGGACCGGAGCCCAACCCCTGTTGCAGCTTTCCCTTAGAGGATGAAGGAATTGTAACTGGTTTGTGGTCTTTATCGCCACCCAATGGTCAACTGGCTAAAGAACATCAAATTATCAGCAGATTTGAAACCTAAGAAAATGAATTTAAAAATGAGAAAAGAAGGAAAAAATAGAAACAAAGCTTTTGTAAAGAAGGTAGGAAGAGGGGTTGAAGGGACGGTAGGGGATTGGAGAAAAGGGATCAAGTTATATCACATACAGGTACAAATTCCTTATGATAAATGTTATCATTATGCACACCTAAAGTGTACCAATAAACTTAATAAAAAATGAATTCAAAGTAAACCACCTGCTACTTTATCACTTAATTAAATGTTCCCTGGGGCTCTTCAATTGAAGAAACTCATTAAAAATCAAATAATTATATTGTGATATGAATAGTTCCTGTTTACAGTGGCAAATTTAAAAATGTATATGTACTATACATATACAGACAAATGTATATCAACACATCCATGTATATGTCAATCACTTTATAATCAGATAAATATATAAACATGAGTACATTAACATATAAACATAAATATATAACAAATACAAATATATGAAACAAAAACCTGTAAAAACAAACTTTTACTATCTTAAGACATTTATGAGACTCTATGAGCCTTCATTTGTTAAAGAAATGAATTTTTCATTTAAAAATAAATAAGAGTAAAGCACAGTAGCAAAGGACTTGCCTAGCATACACAAAGCCCTAGCTTAAGTCCCAAGCATCAGACAAAAATATTTTACCTACAGATATAGGTGAAATATAAAAAGCTAAAATCAAATCAGAGATGTAAAACCAGACCTTCCTATGGTAGAGAATGAGATCTCCCAGCATCCCCTCTTAAAAGGCATAATCCTATGGAATTATGTTTCCACTCTTACCACATCATTTAACTTTACTTCCTTACTCCAAATATTATACAACAGAAACCCTGGGGTTAGGGTTTCAATATATGATTTGGAAGTGGACAAAATTCAATTCATAAAAGGTAAAAAGCCAGGTAGAAAAGGGGATTCTGTCTAAGGGTGGACGAGCAAAGCCACACCTGCCACACAAACCAGCAGGCAGGTGTAAAAGAGGAAGGGGTGGAGGGGAAAGGAAACATGCTGGGTCTCTTCTCTGAGGCAGGCCACAGAGCGCTTGCACCTCTTCTAGGTAATCCCCATAGCAAGCTCCCCAGAAAGGGACTGTGCCACTGTACAGCTCAGGAAATCTCAGCACTAGAAGGTTAAATAACCGCTTTGGACTGTACACTGGTCCTCGGTGGAGGTGGGACTTGAGCACTTTTCTCTGAACCAAAACAGCCCTAGGAGGAGACAGAAACCCATGATCTCGATCAGGGAGTAGCTGCTACCAGATTAAGGGTCCCCATGAGCTCTGGAAGATTCTAATCTCTGACTCTAGATCACATGCAATGCGTCATTCATCAGGTTATTCTGAGGATTAAATAAGATCACATGTGAAAACTGCACAGCCTATGCCACGGCTGGTTTCCCTCCTTGGCTTCCCTCTGAGAGCCCACACTGAGCTGGCAAGGAAGCTTCGATGGAAATAACTGATTTGCCAGTTCCTCCAGCAGGAAAGATTATAGGGGACAAAATGAATGAAAAGTACATTCATTTTCTTTGCTCAGTCAAAAACTTTGCTCTCCTGTTGGAAATATTTTGAAGTTAGTCAGAGAAGTAGAGAGCCCCATGGCAGGCTGAGACACACCACACTACCATTCTTTATAACCTCAGAATGCCAGGCCTCAGCCTTGTGCTCATCTCAGGTCCTGGCTTCACCAGACCACAGGAGCTGGTGGACAGCCTCAGCTCCTCTGGCTCTCGATCCATGCCTATCAGGCCTCTCATTCCTGCCTTGGAAGTGTCTATAGGATCCGTTCCCTGTTCGGAATGCTCCCTTGATGGCGCTCAGGGCACTGATGATTCATCTGCACGCGTACAACAGCCCTTTACTGATCGGAGTGGTCTCTGACCAGGTTCACACTACTACACAGTATCTCCCTCAAACAGAGCTATGTTAGCTGGGATTCTCCAGAGACAAAATCAATAGGATATACAAAGCGATCAGCAGGGAGCTAATTACAGTGACTGAGAATTCAGCAACATGCCATGTGCAAGCTGGGGAAAGCTGGTGGCATGACTCAGTCTAATTCCAAATGCCTGAGATTCCAGCACCTGAGGGGGCTGTGGTACAGGTCCTGGAGTCAGAGTCAGAGAACCTGGAGTTCTGACGCCAAGGAGTGGGGAAGGTGGGTGTCCCAGCAGAGAGCCAACTTGTCTTTCCTCTTACTTTTCCGTCCATTTGGCCCAGAAACACAGGGGATTGGATGGACCCCGCCCATACAGGAAGGAGGATCTTCCTTCATCCACTGATTTAAACACCAGTGTGTCTTCGAAATAATCACACAGACAGACCTCGAAATATAATGTTCTACCAACTCTTCAGGCATCCCTGAACCCATGAAGTGGATTTCTACACTGAATCTTCACACAGCCTTATCCCATCACTGTTCTGCTCAAAAACTTGCCTCCTGTGGTGGCCCCATCCCACCTCCCCCAACGCACTCTGTCCCCTGAAGCCTCCATTCCCTGGCGTGTGCCTTCCTCTGCCTGGCAACCACCTGTTTATTCTTCTCTCAAGAGCTCAAATGACACCTCTTCCAAGAAGCCTTCACATAATTCCTTCAGGGGAGAATTGACTGTATCCTGATTTTCACACCATCTTATTATTTTTCACGTTACCATTAACCATATGCATGATGGTGAGATCCTAGGAGCAAGGGCTGAGTTTCACTCATCTTGGTATTCTCAACAACTAACGTTCAGAAACTGTTCACTGACACAGTGAGGTCTCCTTTTGTTGTGAATAAAGCCCTGTGTATCAGAGTTAATGGCCAACACTCAATTTATCCTCAAATGATCTACCTTAAACTACTTCATACCCTTTTCATGTTTGTTCATCTGCTTAAGACAGCATCCTGAATCCCTGGGCTCAAATAATCCTCCTGCCTCTGCTTCCCTAGTTGCTAAAAATAACAAGCATGTGCCACCGCACCTGACTTGCTTTAACTTGTATGCTTTAACTTGTATCTAAGTATGATGTCTCTGATGCTAAGTCTTAGAATTAAACTTCTTTCACTCCCCGTAGGCTCCATGCTATTGGCTGACCAGCACACTGACTTTCACTTCCACGCACAGTTGCCCTCATGATCTGGGGCCACTCGTGGGACCTGCTTTGTCAGCAGGGATGGGAATGAGGAAGTTACCCTCCAACTGTTTTCTTACAAATTTGGGAGACTGAGATGGTTAATAAGCAAATCAGCCTCACTATTCAAATATCCAGTGACTAAATCCTGAAAATAAAACAAATCAAAATCCCTCAGCAGAGCCTGTAGGCAAACCTATGCTTTCCCTAATCCTCCCTAAAAGCCAAGGATCACTTTCTATTCCACAGTGGCCTGTGTGGAAGACTGTGGACACTACTGCTCCTGGGCTACACCAGCTTCTCCCCTTGCAGAGTTCCTGGTTCTATGCAAAGCTTTCCAGCAAGAGGTGGAGTCATCTGGCAGCTCTGTGTGCTCTGTTTAAATAATACCAGGGTCTTCCAGCCACAGACACCCTCTTACTTGAGCTTCTTATCATAATCTGATCTAAAGAAAACAGCACAGAAGTCAAGGACAGATCACTCCTGGTAAGTCTACAAGGACTAATTTGTGCGATTTCCCTTCTTCTCCCTTGGAACTGGTTGTGCTCAAGCAAAGATTCTGACTACACTTTGGGATACAGACTTGAATGCTAAGTCAAGCAATGACTAAGGACCAACACAGTCATGATGCTATGCTGTCTATTTTGTTTCTTCTCAGAAAGCAGACGTGGAGCCACAGTAGACCTCTCGGCTCCTGGAGAGGGCCTCTTCAGCGATGGAGAGGCTGGACACAAATTCCTCAAAGGTTCAAGATCACTGCCAGCTCTCAGAGAAGTATAAGCAAATCTACCTCTCCCTGACCTACAGTCTCATCTTCATCCTTGGGCTACCCCTGAATGGCATTGTCTTATGGCTCTCCTTGCACCAAACCAAGCCATGGAGCTGCACCACCATCTATCTGGTGAACCTGATGGTGGCCGACTTGCTTTATTTACTAACCTTACCTTTCTTCGTCGTCACCTACATCCTGGAAGACATCTGGCCCTTCGGGGAGCTGTTGTGCAGAGTGATGCGCTTCCTATTCTACACCAACCACTACGGCACTATCCTGCTGCTGACCTGCATCTCTGTGCACCGTTTCCTAGGTGTGTGCCACCCACTGCGTTCCCTACCCTATCGGACCCTCAAGTATGCCCGGCTGGGGGCCGCCACCGCCTGGACCCTCGTAGTCCTCCAACTGCTACCCACACTGGCCTTCTCCCACACAGACTACATCAATGGCAAGATGATCTGCTATGACATGACCAGCCCAGAGATGTTTGACCAGTACTATGCATATAGCATGGTTCTGATGTTGTCTGGCTTTGTCTTTCCTTCCTTGGTCATTTTGGTATGCTACTTCCAGATGATCAAGAGCCTTACCAAGCCACAGGAGAACCTCACAAGGACGGGCAACATGGCCCAGGCCAAGTCCATCCAGACCAAGTCCATCCGGACCATCCTGCTGGTGTGTGGCCTCTTCATCCTCTGTTTTGCGCCCTTCCACATCACCCGCTCCTTCTACCTCACCACCCGAATCCTGAACTCACAAGACTGCCAGCTCTTGATGGCAGCCAGCGTGGCCCACAAGGTCTGGAGGCCTCTGGTGAGCATGAATAGCTGCCTTAACCCTGTCCTCTTCTTTCTGTCAGGAGGTAACAATAGAGTTAGGCTTCTCCAGAAACTGAGGCAGAAAAAGATGGATGACCAAGCTGGGGCCACTGGTGGGGTACCCAGGTTCTGGGCAATCTGGGTACTGCCAAGGCAAAGTGTGGAAAAATGAGTTCCATGGCTGACCAGGACTTGTTTGAAAATAGACGAGGGTGGAGAAGTTGGAGAGGACTTCAGACCACTGCAAAGGGTCCTGCTTCAAAGGATTTTACACTGAGGTTAAAAAAATGCCAAAATAAGAACATGGAGGGAGCCACCAACACTAAGGAGTACTGCTCTTTTTCACTTATTACTCACAAAGGGCCAGGGATATAGCTTGGTGGCACAGTGCCTGCTAGGCAAGCACAAGGTCTTGAGTTCTATTCCCAGTACCAAATCATACATATTATACATATCTTACAAATCATACATATCTTACCACTCGGGTTTTAGCTCAAATGTCACCTTATCAGAAAGCACTCCTGCCCACCCTAGCTAATGGTGACCTCTTCCACCTTAACCCAATCACTTTACTTCCTGCCCTGTTGTCTTTCTAAGTGCACCGCTCCCAAGACTTGTTAATTCACTTACTTTCGAACTCACCCTTCTCACTAGAAGACAGGCTCCAACAGCAAGAACAAGAACCACATCTTACTGCTGAACTCAAACACAGCACAGCCCTGCAGAGCAGATGCCCACCAGGCAGAGGCTGAATAAATGAGTAAATGGATAAAAAATGAAGCCCGTATGATCGAAAAACATCTCCCAGGGAGAAACACATTTAACCCTCATTCTGGTCCCTGTAGATTGAGGACACTGCCAACCCCACTTACAGAGGACACTGAAGCACAGGCTGTTAGGAACTCCCCCAGGCTTCCTGGCGGAGGATGCCTGGGAAAGAAGGTAGAACAGAGGCTTCAAACCAGGACGTGGCCTCTGAGGCACTTGTTCCCAAGCTGAGAGCTCAGGCCCCAATCTGGAACCTGTCCAACTTTTCCTCAAAAACAAAGATTTTGTGGTAGGTCAGCTGGGTCACTTACACTCATATCTGCAGACCACTGAGTATATCTCCTGGGCAGTTCTTAACCAGTGCTCCAGTTAGGAAAAGCTCTGCCTTTACACTTAAACATGGTCTCTCAGTTTAACACATATACACACACCAAAAAAGAAGGCTTACCGCTTTTTTATTTCTTGTATGAAAAACCTTACAAATCATTCAAGAGCCAAGGCAACTGAGACTGACAACCTTTAAAAAAAAAAGCCTCCCCTATTTAAATACAGATCTCTAAGATCCATAACTAAATGTGTCATCTAACAATTCATTATAACCTCTGAAGAGACAAATAAATCGTTTTCATAAGAACCAAAGTGCAACGCCTCATACTAGCCCACTCTAATTATACAGGAAATGTATAAGTAAACCATGTATATGTCTAAATTATCAAATTTTATTCTTAAAGTACAGTTTATTACTTTCAAGGTCAGACAATAATTAGAACTAGACTAAGCATTGCTTAGCTAAAATCCTCAGGATAATTGGCTTAATGAGTAGACAAGTATGTTTTCTAATTAGCAGGTGAGCTGTTTCCATATAAATGTTTCTAAAAGAAATTTAAGATACAAAAATTGTTTGCAGCAAAGGAAAAAATCATGTCAGTTGTTAGTTTGCAAAATGAACAATTCAGGCAGCAGGGAGCATGAGAGAAGTTTGGATAGGGTGAGACACTTACCCTGGGAGGCACATTTAGAGAATACGCTAAAGGCTGTGAAAATACCAATCAGAACTTCCCAAGCGGTGGAGAAAAAGGAAAGAGAGATCACCACAGCTGCTTCCTGAAAGGGAGGAATTGGACACAGTGAAGAAACGGTAGTCTGAAGCATGATTGCAGAGCCCCCCAAAAAATCAGCAAAACCACCACTCTTAATTGGCGGAGCTACCAGTGGCATCTGAGCAAAGCAACAAAATGAAACTTCTATTTGGGGAAAAAGCAAAGAAGAGAGGGAGAGAGGGAGGGAAGGGTTTGCACTGCGGAGAGTCACTACTTCACGGTGGAAAGGGATGGAGGCAGCTTCAACTCAGGCTCTGGGTTTGAAGTTACTTGTGTAGACAAATATATCCAAAGCTGCATCACTAACTGGCTTCTCTCAGGCATAAGTGAAGAAAAAGAATGTAAGAACTGGGACACAAAAGAACCAAGAAGTACTGACAGTACAGAGACAGGTAGGGGCCGGTTAACAGAAAGTGGAAATATCAAGTACATGAACAGCAGGGGGAGAGAGAGAGAGAGAGAGAGAGAGAGAGAGAGAGAGAGAGAGAGAGAGAGAGAGAGAGACAGAGACAGAGACAGAGAGAGAGAGAGAGAGAGAGAGAGAGAGAGAGAGAGAGAAAGGGTAGGGCATGAAACAGGATTCAGAGCATAAACAGTTGTCTCCATGGGGTTTCTCCTCTAACCTACCATCCACATCTCTCTTAGAGCACATTCCCCCTTATACCAATTATGAGAGGCCTTAAACTCTCTTAACTCCCCTCCTACAAGATCTAGCAACGGTTTGAATATATGGGTACTTATTAAATCTTTGTGGAATAAATGAAAACAAAGCAAATTATTTTCTTGTGTATGCTTTTATGAAATTACTGCTAAATCCAATTTATGAATGTGCGCCTATAAAGCTAAGCCGCAAGTTGCTTAGGATTCATTTGTTCGAACACCACCAATTCAAACCAACTCCAGAACACATGCTACTTGTATTCTTTTTTGTTTTCATTTTTACTTTTTAGTTTAAGGACAATAAAAGGGGAAATTTTCACAAAATCATTTGCAATTAAGCATAACCCAGTTATAAAGCTGTGTATTCTTTATCTTTTATTTTCGTATAAACAAGCTCAATATCTTTATAATTTAGATTTCTCAACTCCTTTTGTTGAGCTTGGATTTTATCTTTGTTTAATGTATCAAACTACTTCAAAGGTAAGAGCTTCAAGGGCTGGGAACACAGCGCAGCAGCAATGTGCCTGCCTGGCAAACACAAGATCATGAGTTCAATTCCTAGTACCAAAAACAAACAAACAAACGATAATATCTTCAAGAACCTCATGATATGAAAAAGAACTTACGTTCTGGAAGCAAGTTATAGCTGGGCACTTTTACAGTGGTTAAATCATAAATGACTGAGTGATTTGTACTCAATCTAGAGCAGTGCAGATTATTAAAGAGAGAAGGCAAGCAGATAAGAATGGAGTTTCATGGGAGGGGCAGGGAGGGAGTCTCCACAAGGCAGGCTGTGGCAGCTCTCTACAGACACAGGGCAGGTTCTGCCTGAGACAGGCTCTGATGGGGATGGGGCTCTGGTGGCTGGTGTGAGATGATTTATTTTGTGAGAGTGCAGGGGATTGGGTAAACCCTTACATGCCTGAGCTTTGGCAGACTTTTGGGAGGGAGACGCCATAGGGGCTTCTGGGAAGGAGGAGGTGCGCCTTATCAGGGCACAATTTTGAACCATTGCCATGATGACTGTGCTGTCTCTCAGATGGGAAGACCTAACATTAAACACAAAGCAAAAATTGACACTTCAAGAAAATTAAAGAATCAGTGTATAGAGGACTCTTCAGGACTTCAACCAGCAATATGAAAAACTTGCTAGAATTCTAGTGAGTTAATTCCACTTCCAGTGCAACCCGAGGTGAGAATAAAGACACTAAGGCATATCTATAGTTGTCAGGGGCCAAGGGGGTCTTAAATCCAGGAATCGTGATGATTCACTGGAACAAAGGCCTCAACCCAGGTCAACCTCAGGTTTTATGCATTCTCAGGAGGGGAGTGGCTCCCCATGAATGACTGAGAGACTGGCAGAAGAACTAGGTGGGTGGCCGGAAATCACCTCTGCAATATGCAGAAAGATATGCAAAAGGAATAATCTGTGTAACACAATTTGAGGTATCTAATGTTTTGGTGCTGATACTTCAGCTCTGATGTGTAATCATTTACACCTTGGGAAGTCATAGCCTCTTATGAGGCTCAATCCCACAGGGAACTTGACTCTCCTGCCTCCCTGGCTCAGGCTTGTCTTTGGGGAGCTATGCGGGGACAGGGTAAACTGGCCTGTCACCCTGCTCCAAAGACTACACAAAGGCACCTGGACTAGACTGATTTGTGTTGCTCACAGCCAATGGGAGGAACAAGAAGTCCCAGACAGTTCTGTACATATCAGTACATGAAAAAGAGCCAGATTTAGCCAAAATGGAGATAACTGCTCTTTCAAGGAGTGTCCAGGTGGTCTGAGAATGTTCCACTCTGCAGGTGGAAAAACACATTCACAAAGAGACCTTTATAAAGCATTAACCTAACGAACAAAGCAGCAGCCACTGAAAACTCCTTGTGCACTCTCCTTTTACAGCCTAGTTTTCTGCAATGCTAGGCTACAATTTTTATTGCAATTTCTACCTTGAATTCATACTCTGAACTATTACAACCCAACTGCTGCTTACCTGCCATCCTATTCTGCTGGAATCATTCTCAACTACACAATGAGGACTTGCCAGTTATATCAGCTCCTCTCCAGCTTCGTTTTTCCATGTTATGTGTCACTGTCACCCACTCCCTTCTGCTCTTCCTTGTTTCACAGATGGTCCCTCTCCCTGCTCCACATGAGCTGGTGGGTCACAGGCCTGGGTGCTCTTCCCACCACAGTCACTGGCTCCCTGATGACTCCAGTGATGCTCTGGAGCCACTCTCCAGGGCAATCTTTTCGTATGCTGAATCCACCTTCTTCTCATTCATAGGTGATAACCCATACAAGTCTCCTGTACACTGTAATCTCCAGAAAGCCAAAACTGCATCCATTTTCCTCCAAACCCAGGCACTTTGCCCACTGCCTTATTGGTCAAATGGCACCACCACCCATCCAACCCAGAATCTGGGCGTTATCCTTTATTCTGGGAGCTGAGGTCTCCCCACCTCACACCCAGGAAAGGGTCACATTTTGTTAACACAGGTATCACTAGAGCCTGCCCCTCCTAACACAGGTATCACTGCCACTGGCTTAGTTCAACTTCCAATATTGTTGCTCTAATCTATTACCCATTCTCTCTATCTCCAGATTTGTTCTGACTCTAGTTTACTCTCTTCCTAGTTTCTAGTCATCTTTCTAAGATGTAAATCCTGTTTTGACTATCCTAGCACAAAAATCTTCCAAGAGCTCAAACACTAGGATGACAATCTTTCATAGAATGAAACGCCTCTGGTGATCTGCCTTGTACAAAACTTTCAGCCTAAAGTCACGTATCCCCTTCAACCAATTTTCATTAAACTGCAGGCTCTCTCAGCGTCAGCTCCAAGACCCTTCTCATTGCCTAGAAAGAGTTGTTCTATTCATCCTTTACAGTGCTCAGCTCTGGAAATCATGGAAGCTCCTAGTGTTACAGGCAGCTGAGTTAGAAATATTATAGCCAGTCAGGCAGGGCTAGGCCCTCGAGGGAGCCAATGCAGAAGATACCTTGCAACTGTGGAGCAGACACCTCCCTTGCAGACCAGACCTCAAGACAGATAAAAAAAAAACGCACCCACATATTTCCTAAGGATGAGCATCAGGAACTGATATTCTACATAGCTCTCTATCACCCTGAGGAAGCCAGCAGTCACCATCCCAACTTCCTACAGGAAAATGTGACTCCTCCCCACTTCTTCCTGATTCAATCAGTTTTACCTGAGCAAATAATCTTATTGGTTCTGTCCCACCTCACATCCACCTTGCAAGTTCCCACTTTTTTCCCCACCTTGGACTCACCTCAGCTTAAGGTTTTGCTCTATAAAATTTCTAAAAAAGACCAGGTCCTCAGCAACTCACTCAGGACCCCTCCTCTCTCTCTCAGACAGAAACTTTCTTCCTCTCAATAAATACGTTCTGCTCCTAACCTCTATCATTCCTAAAATTTATTCTTCAATTTTAGAGAACACAAACTCATACTAGACATCTAGTAGGTTGGGAGCGTCTTTCCCCTATGTCACCAGGCTCTCTAATGCTTATGTCCCTAGCTATTGCTTATGGCATCAGCCCTCCCCACACTGGACCAAAGTCTGCATCCTAATCAACCTGTGCGAGTCCCCTATACTCACGAATGCAGTTCTAAGCAAGAAGACCACATTTTCCACATCTCTGAAGCAGCAGCTCTAATGAAGGGCCTTGGGTTCAGTGATGTCACATGTGAGTGATAACATAGAAGTCCACATACATTTTACATCAGTGAGCAGTATTACCAATTACAAACAGTGTGCTGGGTTTCCCCCAATATTGTCAGAATCCCAAGATATTATCAAAGATAAGGCATTCCAACTTACTGCAAAATTAAATACAGTACTGAAGTCTATGAAATACTACAAATTTAAAAAGCATGGTTACAAAAGCTTTATGCACTTAAGTCATTACACCAGCAAGGTAATTTTTTAAAAAATCTAAGTGGCGGAAAATAACTGAAACTTTCTAAGTATGCAAATATTTCCACATGAAGAGAACATACACATGTTATCTTTAAAAGCAATCATACTGCAGCATTTTCCTTTGGACAGTTCCCTAAGGAATTGCTTGTTCCTTAGTGATCTGATTGTGGGAACTCTAACATAAAGTGTATCTGTTAAAAGCCACAGAAATGTGAAAAAAATCAAAGACATAGAAAAGAATTTTAAATTTCCATTCTGTATGATTGACCCTCCCAACCCCTAAGCCTGGAACCATCAGAACCTAATTTTCCTCTAATAACCTCATTCCATTTTATAGGTGATGATCCAAAATCTTGAGGTGATCTGTCTCCAAGCTCACCTTCTCCCCACCTCTACACTCCTGCCCAACCTCTGCTATGAACACAGGGCCATGTTTTCCATCCAGCCCAATTTTTCTCAACACAGCTCTAGACCTCAGTTTCTGCCTGCCAGGGCAAGCCCTGCTCTCATTCTCCCCCGACTCACCCCGCTCCATCAAGTGTACTACTCATCCATTTTACCCTGCAAAACATGACGTACAGGGAGTAAGACATTTCCCTGCCCTGAAACTTTTATTAACCTTCTTCCAAAGGCAGATATGCCAAGCTTCAAAAAGTTTAAAATTATCTGTACTTGGAGAGAACCCTGAAAGAAACAGATTTTCTTTGAAAAAGTGAAAAAGCCTCAGAATTGGCTCATTAACTCACACGTGAGCCACTGTATATGAGAAATCCTAGAAGTATCCTATTGCCGCTCCATCCTAGTGTTCCAAGAGAATGTGAACTTTTTTTTTTTTTTGTACCAAGGCTCAAACTTACAGCCTTGTGCTTGCCAGGCAGGTGCTCGTGCTGCTGAGTTAAATCCCTGGCCCCAGTTGATTTATTTTTTAACAAATCAGACACACTCCCTGCCTTCTGGAACTGACAATTTAAGGAAGAGACAGACACCCACACCCACACTACAAACACTTCATTACCAGAGAATGTAAGAATAAGATACAAAAACTACAGTTTTTAAAAGACCACAGAAATTTCAGAAGAATCTGAAATAGACTGAAAGGTCTGGAATTTTCCATGAGGAAAATGGTTGTGGGATAGGCCAGCAATGTCCTGTACTCACCCTGTGAGGCTGATATGCAGCAGCCACACAACAGTCAGAGTCTAAAAATAGAGTAACCAAATGACAACACAATAAACTCTAAGCAAGGGGAAAGACAGAGTTATCTTGCATTAGAAATTCACTTCCATCTGTTCCAGAACTTTTCAAGCACATATACAATCCTGTGCTGTGTACTTTAAACAATACAATCAGCAAAACACACTAGTTTTAACATTTGCTTGTTAAAAGTATGTGTGGCCACAGAAAACAAAACACATGAAATAAATTCCTTAACCTTAATACAGAACATATTAAGGCAACATCTACTGAACAATACTTAAGGTTTGTCAGAGAAGCTTCATTTTATATTTTTAATACAAAAAACATAAATGTTACTTAAAAGTCCCACCTCAGAAAAAAGCTATTTTAATCACCGTTAAATGACTGTAACTAACCATGGTTTGTTCTACTCTAATTTGGGTTTTGTTATAATCAGTCTTCCATATGAATCAAAGCTAAAATCAGTGCTTAGTACTTTTTTAAGTCAAAAGTTAGAAGACATCAAATATCTATTTTGCAATGCTTTTATTTATTCATGTAGATACAAAACTATCATACTTTAAGAATACTTTGTCCTTAAGAAAAAACTATACAAAATTTATACTACAAAATTGTATCTCAGGTGATTTGGGTCCTCAGAAGAGAAATAAACTCCTGTAATCTTCCTGCCTGCAGCAGAACACAATCTGCTAGTGGTAAACACAAAGAGAATCCCTACCGTTTTATCACAAAGGGAATGCCCCGTACAGTATCCCCATTTATTCCATATGAAATAGCCCTTCTATCCCCTAGTCTCTGAAATCAGACAAAAGACCATGTCCCCAGAATGTAATTATTAAAATTTATCTCAGTACAAGATCTATTAGTTTATATTACTTAACTTCCTCCCTGAAATTCACCTAGATGTTTCAGAGCAATTTCCTAAACTGTTCACAGTTGATTCACCTATTTATTCTGAAGCGGAATTCCTTAGCAATGCACAATACAAAAGGCACAGGCTGACACCATTCCTCACATACTTTAAAATAGGTGCATCTGAAATATAAATATGACTTCCCACTCATTATTTTTCCTCATGAATGAACTCTAAATTAAAAATATATACAGAGGTTTTCAAATCAAAGGTGTGTGCATCCCATTCTCATGACACAGTCATTTAAACTTCTCATCTGCAAAATATAAAACAATAAATTATGAAAAAGAAGAAAATAAATGCATAAAGTCCTATCCAGTTTATAAAAGTAAAATCGTAACATTTTAGGTCAGAAATGCAAAATATTACACATTATACATTTTTAAAATTCCTCGATTATAAAAGTAACAAGATCAATGTAGGAAATTTGGAAAAACTCAATCTCTGCAACACTGCCATTCTAAGGACCTACACTATGGTGTTATTTCTTTCAGCATTTTGTCTATTATATGACATATGATTAAAATATATAGTGAGTATTTAAAATTACAGTAAAAGACACAGTGTCTTTTACCCACCTCAAAACAAGACCACTCTCTTAAAACACACTTATTCCATCATTCTTAACACTTTCTAAAGCAGCTCCAGAAGTTTCCTTTCACTTTAGTTGTATTGTCAAGGCTGCCTCAGTGTCCTGAATCATTCACAATGTTTACCTTTCGTGGTCATTTTGACAAAGAGCCAGAAGTCATATGCTGCCTACTCCAGAGAATAAGACCAAGCAGGACAGACCATAACGTTTCCATGAGCCTGCCTGCCCACCGCACAGCACCCAGCAAGTGTTCACCAGACTTTGGGTCCTACCTCATACAGACACAGAAGAGGGCTTCCAGAACTGCTTCGGGAGGCGGCAAGAACATGGGGTAAGTGTGCTCAAGGCAAAGGGCATGTTCCAAGAGGGACTAATAGCAATGCGTCTTGTAATAATCTTTCCTTTAATTTAAACATTACGGTATATTCTGATCATACCACATACCAAGGAGTTGGATCTCAGACATACATATACCTATATACTTTTAAATTTACAGACTGCATTTCATTTTAATCTTTCACTTCATATATAGCATATTAACTATATGTAACACTAAAAATTCTTCTAAAACATCATTTTGATAACTTACTACATGGATGTATCAGAATATATTTAACCATTTCCCTACACTGGAACATTTGTATTAGTTCCAATCTTTCAACAAAATAAATAAAGACTGCCAGATAAATTACCTCAACTACTAAACAAAGGGAATACATCTGAGCAAAATAAACAGGCCAAAAGCCTTCTCTACAACGAACTGTAGCTCTCTTTCTGTCTCGGAAGGCAACTTAAGCCCAGTTCATTTTTACTTTCACATTTTATGTCTTGAAATTCATCTTAAATTTTAGGGAACAAGATTTTTTTTCATAAAAGTTTCCAATTTAATCATTTAGTCTTGAAACTCAAGAAAAAGACTACTTTCTTCCAAACCAGGTAACTTGAAATAAAACAGTAGTATTTATGGTTTTCAATATAAAGATAATTTTTCTTCTTAATACTTACTCAGTATGAGAAAATTTCATTTCTTCCCTTTGTCTTGTAGAGTAATTTAGGTTCCCACCTAAAACACAAACACAGTCTTTTCATTGGAACATTAAGTAAAATATAACTAAACACAAGCATTTGCATAGATATATCCCTTTTAAGTAATGATAAAGATGAGAAACAATAGAATTCTTATGTGATACAAATAATCACTCAATTTTTATTGTTTAAATTTGAAATTATATATTGCTTCAAGTTTTGCTAACTAGTTATCTTGTACAGTGAATGCATGAAATCTGTGGAGCTTATGTTCCTATAGCACACCTGAATTGTGAAAAACCATGAATTTGTGAAAACTATATATATGTTTAGAAAAATTCTTATAAATGACTATTTTTGTAATTTTAAACCCTAACATGCTATCTCCCAGTTATGTAATTTAATTTAATAAAATACTGTATTAATAAAGCTTTAGAAGGTGCAAGGTGTTCTGGCAGTACCTTTGGGCTTTAAAAACAACAAAACTGAGAACATGTCAGATGGCTATATGTGGTAGTGCAATGTTATGACAGGTATGCGGGTGCATCTGCCAAAGATGGGTTACAGGGCAGCAGCCAATCAGCAGCAAGGAGAACTAAATATGCGCTTAGATTGGCTACCTGCAAACCTCTCACCAAAAAAATAATTGTGGAGGACAGTTTCGGTTTTTTCGAAATTACAGGGGTTTGCACAAAATAAGTACTTGTTATATCCTAAGGAAAAATCCATAAATGACTAAGCCTGTAAACTCTGAACCAAAACTTTGTAAGAGTATTAACATTCAGTACGGTATTAACATTCAGTAACAGTGAAATGTAAGAGAAATTTAAGGAAACTGTCTCAAACTTAATCACCATATTACATCTCTAATATAGTAACAAATATGTAACAATACAACAATAAGTATGTAACATTCGCTAACAGCAAGAGTTAGAAAAATTAATAAGGGCAAAATGTTAAATATCTTACAAGGAACAACAAAAAATAGACTAAGTCGTATGTATTAGTTTAAAAGAATTTGTAATTTCTAATTCTAACCAAAACACTTTAAACCTTAAAATACAAACTGCAAATATAAATCTGCTAGCTTATTTTTTCAAAATAAAGACAATAAAAGTTGGGCACAATGACCGATGCTTATAATCCCAGCACTCTGGGAAGCTGAGGCCGGGGTTCAGGTCCAGCCTAGGCAACTTAGCACGAGTTTGTCTCAAAATGAAAAATAAAGAGAGACTTAAATGTGTAGCTCACTGTGAATACCCAGTACCACCCTCCACAAAAAGAGTTTACATTTTAAGTCTCCAGGGTATTTTTTAATGCTGTATTTCCTTATGCTAATATAATAACATCTAACATTTTATATTACAAACCTCAAACTGATCTGGCTAGAAAAAAATTTCAATAAATAAGAAGTTCTGGAATTCTAATTCCACAAATGTAATCAAATGTGTAATTAAATGTGTTTCTTTCATTTTGAATGGTGTTACTATTACATGAACTAAGACACTAACCCTCAAAAAGCATGCAAAGAACCACAGAATGGAGCTTGGGAGAAAGATATCAAAACTTACCTCGGGCATGATTCACCAAATAAAGTAAGACCACAGATAAAAGTGCCACTAGGAATAATAAAAAAAAAGGCGTTTTTTAAAAATACATATTTCTTCTCAATGAGTCTTACATAATCATAATTACGAAGTGAAACAGACCAAAAAATAAAAACTTTACTAACTAGCAATTATGAGTAACATTATTTACATCATTTTATTTCTATAAGCACCAGAAGTAAGTTGCACCCCCTTTCTCCATGGGAAACAGCTGCTTGTCAGCCCAGGGACCACAAAGACAGAAACAGAGGGGCCCAGATGCCCAGAAGGCCAGGGAGCCCACTGCCCACAAGCCATCCCCACCTCTCTCCCTCTTGGTGTGCTGGTCCTTCCAGGCGCTTCGCCAAACGCCTACCCGACCCTAGACTGGGGTTTATTACTTCACAGAATTCCAAACAGTAGTCCTTTAGAGAACATTTTAACACAATATCCATTTTACAAAAGAAATAACCAAACAAAAACACAGTCATTAGACTCACAACACTCCACAAGCAGTAAAGAACTCAAATGTCACTGCCTGGCTCTTTCCCTTACCAAGTGAGGCATATTGCTTAATTTATTTTAAATTAAGCTGTCAAAAAGTATTTCTAAGTGACATGGTGGTTTATTTGACGTAAATATATGCTAAACTATGGACTGAAATTAAACTCCATGTTGCAGCACCTAAAGTAAACAAAAACACTTCATGATCTAATGTTCTGAATTCTTAAATGACCCCTTTTAAAAACAAATAAATTATTTTCTAAACCTGATGTGCTTATTTTTCTAATATTATAAAATATTAAAATGAATTCAAGTGTATACATAATCTATGATCTGCCAATACCACACCTCAAGTACACACGTCTACTCCTTGCAAATGGAAATAAAATTTGCGAAAACTATCACTTTATGGTAAATAAACTAATGATGGATAAGATAATTTTGATATTTTATAAGAGAATATATTTTCAGATAAACACAATTTAGGTGTATGGAAAAGATTCTCTATAGAAAAATACTAATTTATCTTTTAGTTTTTCAACGATTTCTTGGTGCTTCCTATTTTTAACCAATGCATAAGTAAAAATTAAATAACAGACTAAAAATAAAAACAATGAATAAACCATATCTCTACACATTCCACATTAGGGACACACTCAGGGCCCTCCAAATTGTTCTACTTTAAAAGGTAAATTTTCTTAAAACCATAAATATTTAAAAGAAACTGATTCTACTGCTGTCTTTACAAATAAATTTCTTGAAAAAATGTTTGAATCTTCAGTGCGCTGACTGTAAGAAGTCTGGCACACAGACTAAGAATTGGGCAAATCTGAGCAATTATATCTTAAGGATATGTTTTGGAGGTAAAAGGAAGGCAATGACACTTGTCAAACCAAACAGTAAAAATGAGAACACTATGCTACACTGAAAGAAACTAAATGTTGCTACATGGCATACTCACGAGAAACGCAGCCAATGAAGAAAACTTCTAAAACTAAGTATCCTCGAGTATCCAATATTATGCCAGCAATAATGGAAATAATAGCCAACCCAAGATTCTGAATGGACTGCATGCTGCAATTTAAGAAATTCAAAAGCGTATTTCATTTTCAAAACTCTTCAAATATAGTTTAACACTTCACTATACATATTAGTATCTTTAAACCACGTAAGGTGAGAGATGTTTTAATCAGAGATGGCTTGAGATGGGTTTTCTTATCCTATGACTCTTTCTGCCCTTTGACCATCTGCTCAAAGGTAAGGGAACTTGCTTTCTATATGAAATCAACACTCAGCACCTTCCTGCTGAATGAAAGAAAGGCTACATGGACATCAACCACAAGTGCAGCTGCCCACATTTGCCTTTCTGAGACAGGGAAGGGCCTCAGACACAGGGGCAGTGAACAGAACATCAGCAATTACTTCTTACAGGTCAGCCCACTCTAGCTCTCACAGGGAAGCCTAGATTTTGTGCTGCCTAAACACATTAACTAACTTTTCCAGGTTCATGGCTGTCTCAGACACCTCAAGATGACTAGATTCAGGAGAATGAAAGGTTTATGGGACTATATTTACAATAATTGGGAAATACTTATGATCCATCATGTAAATTGTATACTTACAAGCCATATGCAGTTCCCAGCTGATGTTCAGGAACTAAATAAGCCACCATTGGCCACAAGGCACAGGCAAGCAATGAATAGGAGAGTCCCAGGAGACACTACAGAGAGCAGGCCAGAAAGTAAAGTCTGGTATTAGCCAAAAAGTGATTGTGCTTCTATGCAGATTAATAAAACTAATATAGTTAACTAAAATATAAAAATTGAAGCAAATTTTTTTGTGATTTTTTTTGTATTCATATTCAAAATATAACCCCCCAAAAGCTGGCTTTTCCACTAGGACTATCCTTCCAAGGACAAGATGCACACTGTCTTAACCCTTTCATTTGTCATCATATCATACCGAACACATACATAACAGGATGCGGCCCAAGATACAAAGACCAAGCAAGAAAAAGTTCATTTACAGAAATTTCTCGTGGATGTTTTGAGAAATCCAATTTTCCATTATTTATTTGGAATAATAAATTAAGCAATCAAAGAAACATTATGCCAACAGTCTACTCTTTTGGCCCTGGGTCATCAACACTCAACTGGAAAGCAAAGCAGAGAACCCACTGTCACCACTAATGGTTGTCAGACAACACCTAATACTGGCATCCTTTTCAATTAAAAAGAAATTCTGATAATTTCAATCTGAGTAAGCATGACTGAAAAATCATCAGATAAGCAAGTATTAAAAGAATGTCTGTGCCCGACACTGGCAAGGAAAACAGACACATCTGTGTGTTGCTGATGAAGTTACACAGGACATTACTGAAGAACCTTCACAATACCGTTCACGCCCTTAGCAGTGCAAAGCCTCTGCTGCAGCACTTCCACTCTAGGACCCTGGGCTGTCCCTGGAGGAATACCTCTCTGGAGAGTCTCATCAAGGACATACACAGGCATGTTCAAGATACTCTTTTATTAATAGGTAAAAACTACAGCACTTCATCTTACGGTCTTAAGACGATACTCTGAAGACAATAAAAAGATTTGGTAAATTTATCATCAATCTCTAACCTCCTCAGACTCAAAAACAAGAGAATGGATATTAGGCCAATCAACTTTTGCCACTTTCGATGGAAGAACTTTTTAATGAACTTCAGAAAAATAAACGGAACTAACTAGCATCCTGTTTTTCATAAGGGTATTTTATTTCAAATTTTACTTCAGCACTGAGATTAGCTTAAAAATAAACCAAATGAAATTAAAGAAACCTTGAATTAATAATTTATCATTTTTTTTGCAGAAATTAAAATCAAGTCATTATTTCCCCACTGGCAAAGCACTGCCACCTGAATTTAACAACCATGCCTCCTGATAATGGACTTGACAGAGTCCTTGCTGAAACCTTCACCCCTCAGGTGTCAAGACAGACATTACCATAGCAATCCAAGGGTTCCACATCGTGAAGGCCAGCATCATGTGGGACACAAGCGTGGTAGCCACTGCACACAGAACCCAGATGATGTTCTTCCCTGTTTTATCCACCATGAACCCAAATAATGGTGACATGGGAGCTGATATGACATACACAACACTGCCCAGAGAATATATACAAAAGTTAATAAAATGCCATGTGGCTAAAAATAATTATCAAGCAAGCTCCTAAAAACATTAAGCAAAGCGAACCCTAACTTACACACATTCTTCTAAATAATAATCAGAAAATAGAAATATAAAATGCAGTCCAAGACTTCTGGTTTTCCATTAATGTAAAAATGGACATTTAAGATTCAAATCCCAGTACTATAAAGTCTTAGTCTCATGTTGAGGTTGAATTCTGGACTCTTTTTTCCTCTTACATTTGTTTATAAATACCTATATTTCATATGCAATAAGCACTTGCAGAATTAATGAAATACCTGTTAATTGCACTTGCTTCCTGGGAAGAAAATCCAAATTTCTGTATAAAGAAAACTCTAAAATTAAAAAGAGAAGTGAATACTTTAGAAAAAAAAACTTGCTTTTAAAAAATGCCAACTAAAAATGAACAAAAGTAACAAGTTCAACAAACTTTTTTCTCTTGATACTATTCTTGCAGCTTATTTGATACTTGAGGCAATCTACAAAAGCTTTGTAACTTTTGTGAATGTTTCACTGACTAAAATATGATGTCTATTTTTCTCTTTTATATATAAACAGTACACATGATTTTTCAGAAAACCGAATTTACTACTATAAGGAATTAAGGTTGCTTTTTTGTGAAAGCAGTACTAGAAAAGTTCTTTGCTAAATAATAACTACAATTCCCCAAATTATACAAAATAACAGCATAAATTTAAAGGTTATACAGACACATCCCTACAAATATATTTGCACTCACATACTGCTCTGCTTAAGCAGCTGCTAATGAAAAAGAAGAGACAAGTAGAAGGCAAAGCAAAAAATTTGCTTTGAGCCCCGAGCTGAAGTCTGGTAGAAATACAATCCCAGTTTTCAAATGGAGAAGCAACCAGCCACAGTGTACCAGGACGTGGTTTACATTTGCAGTAAGGAGCCTCCTAACCAAGGAATAAAGGGAAATAAAAAGAACACTAGTCCAGAATCTAGGGCTGAATCAAAAACTCCCATGAATTATTTCTTTGAATAAAAATATCAAAGCAATACTAAACTTTAAAAAAAAATCCATTGTATCCCAGGATACAAAATAACTGCTGTATAAATACAAACTATACCCAAACACGAAAAATTTACTCCTAAAAAAACCTGTTATTTATGTCATTGAGCTGTCATTATCATTTTAGCCAAGAAAAATAGAATGCTAGAAAATACTTACTTCCCAAGTCCAATAAAAGGGAACACCACAACATAATAGCAGACACAGATGATAAATATCAGCCAAAGGGGTAAGGAGAAGTCCTTTATATCAGTTAATTTAATAACTTCACCTTAGAGAAGAAAGGGAAGACAGTATCAGCATAGTTTCACATACCTAAGGACATTCCACCTACACTCAAGATTTTCTTAATCATGTGATCAGCCATTCCAATTCAGCTTTCAAAAATACTACTCTAGAGAATTCCAAAAACATCATCTCTGGGGTAATTTTAAAAGACATGTAAGGAAAACCAGAAGCTAAGATTGTTACTGAACTTCCCACTCCCTTCTGCAAATAATAATTATTTTGCAAATACACAAAGTAAAATAGAGAATATAAATTCTGTCAAAAAGTTTAACGGGAAAAATGTATCTCTAAACTTAAACAAGTGGAAACAGATTTGAAAATACAAAATAAGACATAGGCAACTGGCCCCACCTCATTTACAGTCTGCATTAGGAACATACTATAAATTCACTCTCACTCCTCTTTCATTTAGACTTACCTGTTTTTCCTTGTTCTTTATGAAGAATTCTCTCTGCTCTCTGATCCAAGTAAGCAAGAGCCAAAGCACTGATCAGTGAAAGAATACAGGTAACACCCCCTAAACCAAAAAAGAAAGAGATTTTTTAAAACAGAACCAGACTAAAGGTTCCTCAAAGGCTTCAGAAACACAGCAATGAAAGGGAGGGCACGGGAAAGCTATGAACAAGGAAATCCAACAATTACCAATCTAGACAAAGAAGAACCTGCAAAAGGCAAATTCTTAATAGTTTATTTTACTGCATTATTTCCCAGTACAAGGTTGGCAATTAAAAAAGACTTTACCCAATTAGTCCTGTAAGGCACAATAGAGACTAGAGAAATCTGATTACTAGTTTATTAGTCCTCATTTGATAGATGCCAGGAAAAAAATTACAAAAGCAATCTGATGCACTGGCCACCTTGACTTCCTTCCTGAATCTGTGATCTGCTCTCTAGAGCCCCAGAAGCGCATCTTCCCAAAGACAGCTCTCCCAGCTCTCCTTCCTGTGTAGCCAGCGTTTCTCACTAACGTCCATCTCATTCCATCAAAGCCATCAAAACACTGAATAAAGTTCACACTTCGTGAGAAGAAATTTAGAAAGAAGCTTAGTAAAATACTGTATAGGTCCTGCTTTATCTTTAACTGGCTAACATACTATGGTCCAGCTGAAATGAATCAGAAGACATGGGCTCTACTGTTGACAGTGACAAGCTCAATGGTCTTGAACACTGAACATCATCTCTCTGAGCTTCAATCTCCATGTAAAAAATGAGAGATGCTGACTTGTTGACAGCAAAGGTCTTTTCTGGCTATCTTTAAATTCTAAAATTCTCCACTGGATGGAATCCTGAAGGGTATTTGAGAGTAACAGAGTTTTAATTAAGGCAGTGGATTTGGGAGGCAGGGTTTGGAAGAGGACTTGGGACATATCTGCCTGCTGGCAGCGTATGCCAAGAAATTATGAGAAATATATCTCTGTAGGCCCCAAGTAAGAAGTCACACACACATCACAGACTCAGGTAGACAAATCCACTGCTCAGAAAAGGCATGAGAGGTAAATTCGGAGAATTCCACATACTACTCAATGTCCCACCCAGCAACCCGTGCTACGGGCCTTGCTGAAGAGAAGTTAGAGACATGAGGGACTCACACATTGTTGGTCAAAGATCCGTATTTTCCAGAAAAGAAAACTGAGGCACAGGTTAGCGTCTTGTCCAAGGGGACAGAGCTGGTTTGAGGCAGCACTAGAACTAATTCCTGACTCCCAACATAGTCAATTTTCAGCCATTGCCTGTCACATCTGATTTCCAAGCAATCTAACCTCACTACCAGCTAACTCTGATCAAGAGGGAAAAATGCTTCCTTCTGCTGCAGGCTATTAAAACCTTACAGGAATAAACTCCAATTGTCTTAGTTTTTCATATATTACCTCATTGTTAAGATACAAATGCTAACACTGAAATAACAAGGAAAAATAGTATCTTGAATTTTTAAGAAAGTGGAAATTAAAATGTCAACAAATACATAAATAACCATTTCGCAGTAAAAAAAAAAAAAAAAAAGGCCAGAAAACTGTGAGGCAAAACTATAACCAAAGTGGTCTGACACCAAGCCTGGGATTTCTCCTCCCTGCCACAGTACCTCCATGGCAAGTTTTCAGAAGAGACAAGATTTGGGTCATGAGGTTTCACTCACCAATCAACAGTGTGACCCCAAGGGTTGTGGGACCAGCAGAACCCAAAGAAGCTTCAAACTTAGAATACAGCCATCCCATGAGGTTCATGTTTACTGTACTTCCCTAGCAATGAAAAAAAATCAATTTTCAATTAGTTATATCTGTATTGTTCAAAACAAATGATTTATGATACCTTAGAGCCTAAGTATAATTAGGATTCAAACTAAACAGAGAGTGATTTAAAAAAAAAAAAGTATAAGGAAAAATATGGCATACTAAGATAAAACCATAGAGAAGTGTAATATACAAAAATGTGAATTTACTAGAAAATGCTAGGATCCAAAACACAAATGAAACACATGCTACAAAACTCAAAGTTGCTAAGACAAAATATAATACCAGTTCAGAAACAACTTTTCCTGGAAGCTTTTCTGAAGTCTGAATAAAAAATATAAACCTTCCTTTGAATATCTCTATAGAGACAATAAAAGGCATGGTAGATAGTATTGCCACAGACTCAGCAATTATTCCATCACTTGCCAGTCACTAGTTCAGGTGTTAAGAACATAAGCAAAAACACTAATTGAAAAAAAATCTAACTTTAATAACACTTACCACAATTCAGTGGGATAAAACAAATATGTAACACATTAAACAATGACAAATGCTTTAAAAAATAAGGAAAAACATAAAGCAGGGTAGAAAACTATAAAACTGGGAGAGGAAGCCTCACTGAGAATATGACTTTGGAGTAAAACTTGAAAAAAGGGAGGTGGTAGGATGCCTGGGGCAGAGCAGCAGACAGGAGAGCAGCCCGCACGCAGGCCCAAGGGGTAGCCTGCCTGGATGGTAAAGGGCTGAAAAGGGGGCTGGAGACCAGGACGGGCACAGAAAAGAGAGAAAGGGATGAGATCCCCAGAGAGACCAACAGGAGGGGAGCTCCAAGGGGACAATGTGGACTGCTGGTCTTTTTCTGTATGAGAGCATCATTAGGGCTTTGAGGAGGAAAGTGGTAAAGTACACTTTGACAGTCTCAGTCCAGCTTCTGTATTCAGCAGGGACCACAGGTAGGGGCAGAGGAGAAGTAAAGGGCATCAGTGATAACCCAGCACCAAGAGGATGGGTCCAGATAGTTAAACACGCTCAGATATGAACATATTCTGATGGTACAGCTAATGGGATCTGCTAACGGAAAGTATGTGTGGGGGGGTGGGAAGTGAGGTGGAACTCCAGATGACACCACAGTCCCTGCCTAAACCATTGGTAAGAAAAAAGCTACCCTTAACTAAGGAGAAGAAAACTAGCCCTTGCTTACTAGCTACTTTCTGCCCTTCATGAACTGTTGCCCCTCTGTTGTGCCAGTCTGCCTTGGAGACAGCTGATTATTGTCTGAACTGTCTACAAACCGTGAGCTAAATAAACCTTTCTAACTTTTCTTAAAGGAAAGAAAAAAAGAAAGAAAGGAGAAAACTGTAGCAGAGGCCACTTCAGGGGACACTGGGTAGAATATGAAGAGCTGAGGTTGGGATACGCTTGATTTTCCATGCCTGTGAGTCAGAGAAGTAGAAATATCACATAGGTGGCTGCCTATATGGGTGCAGAATTCAGGGGAAAGGCCCTGACCTGACAGGGATTTAGTAGCACACAATGATGTTTCAACACTAAACTGGATAACACACGCTTGTAATTCCAGCACTTGAGAGGCAGCAGGATCTGTGTGAGCTCAAAACCAGTCTAGGCTACAAAGTAAGCTCAAGGCCAGCCTGAATTGCACAGTGAGAACCTGTCTCAAAAAGACAAAAAAAAAAAAAAAAACAACCCTTCAAAACTAGGTAAGATCACCATGATTGTCAGTATACAAAGAAGAAAGATATCCAATGATCATGCCTTGGGGTACTCCCATATTTACAGGTTGAGAACAGTGGGATGGAAACAGCAAAAGAGGTAGACAGAAAAGTCAGAGGAAAACTGTAAGGCTGTCCTGAAACTCAAGAAACCAAGCAGCAGGGAAGGCCAGCTGTATTCAATGCTACTGACTCTGTCAGCTGCTACAGAAGACTGATAAATAATCCTGTCCTCAACATATTCTCACAGCTAGTATCACGTGGATATATTTTACAAAATGGTAGCTATCCATACTTATCTGAGAAATAAGATAAATGAAGACCTTCTGGAAACTTTCTCCAGTATAACTGAAAATATAACTGAAAATAACAGGGATGCTGCCTTAATAATCTTTTAAATATTAAATATCTAACATGACCTGGCTTAGCAGCACTACATAAGTTCTTGCTTATGGAAATGATAAGCTTAAAACTAACTAACTGAAATGCTACATCTCCAACCCCAGCTAAGACATGAATAATAAGAAAAGTGAGAAGATCACTGCCTGACGGTGTTACCGTAAGGTACCGGCTCAAATGTCCCAACTTAAACAAGCTCACAGCCCAGACAACAGAAAAATCGTGAAAGACAAATCCCAAACACATGTATTATTCCAGCAGATGCTCAGGAAACAAGAAAAGCACAGAAGGATGGCATTTCAACAAGCAAGAATTTCTCAAGTACTGAGTACATGCTAAGCCATCTCTGTAACAAAACGGCACTCAAACTTTTAGATTGCATAATCCTTCCATTTCACATCATCTTACCCAGACCCTAAACATACTAGGTCTAAAGGTACCCTGGCTGAAGCTGAGGGAGTGCTTGAAATCCCCTCCACCCCTATTTCTCTCCCCCTCCATCCAAGAAACTCCAGAAATTCCCTTCTGGAAATTTAAAGTTCCTCAGAATTCAGTTCAATGGATTACAAGAAAAGAACTTGATGAGCACTTTGTAAGCAAAATGAGGTCACTGAAGATGAGTCCTAGTCAGCTCATCTTACTTTCTTCTTTCAGAAGTCATCGGACAACTAGATCCAGAAACTCACAACACCTTGACTTGCGTAAGACACACAAGGAAGCATGTCAGAATACATACATATATATATTACTAATCTCTGTAAATTCACCAAAAAGAACAGCTTGTGCTTTCAGTTTGTCTTTTCATTCCTAAATTTTATAACCTGAACAGCTACTTCTAAGATAACAATATTGCTGTTAATTTCCTATTTTTTAAAAAATTCTCTATCAGTTCTATCCTTTTGTTTTTAAAATAAAAAACCCTCCAGAATATCTTCAAAGAATAAGCTCCACAAACACCTTAACTTGTGTATGATACACAAGGAAGCATCTCAGAATATCCTTGTAGAAAAATTTAGAAAAAGTAGGAAACTATGGCAGTTCAAAGAATTACAAATTAAAGTATTTTTTACATGTTTCATTTAAAAGTGATAAATGTCTTTTTAAAAAAGTAACAATAGCCTGTAACACCAAAGCTACAATAAAAAGGATCATTTCATATCCTGTGGATAGAATTGGAAACATGTCTCAATAGCCCTCAGAAACCTCTTCTCTGACCCAATAATTCCCATTTCTAGTCACCTTCCCTGAGAAAACAATCAGAGAAACAGGCAAGTTTTATAGCAAGAGTGTCAAACTACACCATTTCATATTAAAACCTCCATGTGCAAATCAGAGAAATACTCACATGAGGAAATTAAGAAAAGTTTATACTGGATTTATGTTCTAATGTTACATCTTCACGCCATTATCAGTCTCTGAAAGCTTGATTTTTTTTAAGGCAAAATTATTTTTTAATTCTCTTATATAGGACTCTGTGAGGAAAATACCTAAATGGATTGCCAAAATACCTTACAAGATGCATTAATAAAAATGTAATGCTGTCCCTCTCTATGAACCAAACTAAAACCCACGGTCATTTCAAAGCTCCAAACACCAGGACATCTGGTTAATGAGGAAGTCCAAAGAGGCATGAGCACCATGGTGAGGGAGCCAAAATGCAAGTTATACAGATTAGACCACTGGCACGAACTTCTAATCAAGAACTAAAGAACTGTCTTCAAATAAACAGTGTGTTGTTTCATAGCAGAGGCAAAAATTAAAACAAGAGGCAAAGGGGTGAATGACTTGCAAAAGCTACTTGTGAAGTAAGTTTCACCCCTACATGAGGTTGAGTTTCATAAAGTTCACTAAAGTCCATGGGCGGCCCCATCACAGTGAGCTTCCCATCACAGGCAATGGCCAAGCAGAACATGGATGGCCACAGGAGGGGGCCTCATGGCAAGCATGCCAAAAACAGGTAAGAAACTGACATACTTAGATTCTTTGAACTAATACATGCTTATTTCATCATTTTAAAATTTATTAATTAAAATAAGGAAAAAATGCCTTACTTAAAATCAACCAAACAATACATTCTAGAGAAATATGTAAAAACCAGTGACTTATCACATCTAAGCATACCCCAGCTAAGAGAAACGCGTAACTCTACCTGTTGCTTGCTGTTTGGCCTCATTAGCCTTGTCACCATACTCACAATTCTAGCCATGCTGAGCTGGAGTCCAAAAACCAGGTTTAATTCTTTGCCTTTAAACCAACTCACAGCATATGTATTCTGGGCAACTGCTAAGGATTCTCCACCAATCCTAAAAATAGTAAAAGGAAGAAAAGTCACAGCTTTTAAACATATACTACAGGTAGCAATTTTGACACTTCTCCTATCAAAAGGTAAACAGTCTCTGTGAATCTGTGAGTTTGTGCTGCTCCAACCAATTGAAGAACAGTCTTATGATGGAAGTAACACTGCATGATCTTAAGGCTGGCATCTGCTTTTTCATACTAGCACTCATGCTGTCAAGCCAGCTACCCCTAGGCCATGAGAAAGCAAGCCACATCATCTACTGAGAAAGGTAATAGTTTTAAAAAATCCTTATTGAGGGACTAGGCAGGGTAGCTCAATGGTAGACCACAGATTTAGAATGTGTGAGGCCCTGGGTTTCATACTCAGCATCAAAAAATATATATAACATAAATCTTTAATAAACATGTTAAAATAAATTATGCACAACTTACCCAAAAACAAACCTTCCCACTTCCATCAGCCAAAAAGCATTAAATATTCCACCCAGAGCAAAAACAACCTATAACATAGAATTTAATACTGAATCAATGAAAGAATAAATTCAAGGTATTCAAGAAAAATAGTAAGTAACTTAGGATAAATCATAACTTCTACAATAGTTTTATTTCTCTGTAATCTGTGAAAATTAAAATGATAATGTACACATATTTCAAGGCTTAAGATACATCATGTTAGCCCTCAAGAGCATTTATGGATCCTGGTTAATTAAACTACACACATTCACTACATCAACCTTGCCACTGGAATTGATTAGACAAGAATGAAAAAGTCATTGTCATTGTCAGTGTTTTGGTCTTTCTTACCTGACCAATGCAAACAAAGCAGGTAAAAATAATTGTACCCCATCTGTTTGAGAAAGACAGAAAGAGCCCTTCATTAATGATTCATTTTGGTTTTCTCTGCCCACTTCATTCCCTCCAATGAAAGGAAAATTAAGTGTTCATGTGCCTCTAAAATCAGCAATGTTCCTAGGCTGAATGATAATGTACAGAATCCAGACATCGAAGGGAATTCCAGAGGCTTCAGTAATGGTACACATTAGTGTAAGACATTATCATCTCTTAAAATCAATTAAATTATCTGCAAAAAATTCTGAGTCAAAACTATTTAAAAATGAAAATTCTTTATAATATTTCTATTAAGAATTTAAGTTTGATTCAATAAATTCATACAGTAAGTAATTTTAAAAGGATATAATTCTTAATAACTAAAAACTACTCTTAAAAGGATATTCTGTTAATATAATTAGAAGTCCAACATTGTAGTCTGAATATCAATTAATGTTTCTTCAGAATAATGAATGGCAGTTACAAGAGTGCTTAAAGGTCAACTGAATAAATTGTTTCTGAAACTTAAATCCCTTTCAAAATAATGGTCATACCATGCTCTAGCGTTAGAAAATTCACTATGGTTCAAGACAACTGAGACCAAATAAAATATATTTAACTCTTCTGTCGTATTCTAACTCTACAAAAATTTTGAAAATTAGCCTTCAAGTCTAAACCCAGAAGAGTTACTTCAACTTTATCCCTTAGACATGGTTTAAATATACCTTACCAATACTGTATTCTCAGTTGATTACCAAGTCTTCACTGAAAATATACATATAAACAAAAAGAGACAAAACCTAGTGGTCATAAAAAGTTTAATGGATAAAGCTAGAAACTGAAAATCTTACTGGGGCTGAGAGAAATACACACTAATTACATGCCAAACACTGTACATACATCTTTCATTTAATCCTCATAACATTCTTGCAAGCTAGGAATTATTATCTATTTTGAGACTGAGAAAACTGACGCACAGGAAGTTTCCAACAGCTTTGAACAGTTAGGAAGTTGAGTAAGTGGCAGCAGGGAAATTCAGACCCTGAGTCATCTAACCCAGGTCAAGCATAATTTACCACCTCCAGATAAGCAGGTTACTTTATTCCATCAACAGCATTTACTAGTCTGACCTTAACTGACATACCCATTTCCAAAACCAATTGCAGTTTTAAAATACCAATCTACACAGTTCTTCCTTGAAACATTATAGCCCCACATTTTTCTAATAACCAGGTGAGTTTTTTTTCAAGCTTACCGTATTCCAAATACTCGGTCTATCAAAAAGCCACCCAAGAAACACAAAACTACATTGGGCCAAGAATACCAGGCATACAGCAGCATGAATTTTGTGGTGTTCACCTGCATATCCTATGTGGAAAGAAAACAGAACTATTTTTCCAAACAGATTTACCAACTAACAAATCAAAATATGACAATCTAAAATGGAGAGTAGTTATATTTTTTTTCTGTTGTAGAGTAAGTTTCTTAACCATTTGTAAGTCACCTGGGAGCTTCTTGCATGTGTATCTCACTTCAGGGGCTTTGTGGATTCCAGGATGAAACATCCTGGTGAAGGACCAGACCTTCTGTATCTTCTATATTCTTATTTTCATATTTCTCCCTGCACTGGGGATTCCTCTCACAGAGAAAAAAATCCTATCCTTTTCCACATTACCCTCTCTACCTGCCAACTCCTTCTTATTTACTCTTTTATTCAAGAATTCAATCTATTCATTTTTCCCTGCTAAAAGGTAAAAAGCTTACAAAAGAAAAAGGTGACCTAAATCCAAGAAACTACAAATAATACATTTCTACAATTCAAAAACAAAACTAAGAATACTGTCATGAATAATATCCAGCAATCAGTGTCCACATTTGAAATAACAACATATTCAGAAAGTAAACAGCTACCCCATAAAATAATTTGTGATTAATGTGATTAAACAAAAAGGATATGAAATTGAAACAAAACTAATATTAGAGCAAAACTATGGAAACAGCACATAATTACTTATCTAAGGTATAAAATTTCAAGTCACATATATGCTACAATAAATGAATGTTTTAAGGCAACTCAATATAATTTATGAACAATCCGTTCAGCTTGCGGTTTGGTAACAAAGAGTATTAAATTGGATTCAGTGTACACTTAAGACTGAGTAATTTGAAAGTTTCCAGTGTCTCAGCAGTTACAACTGCTTCACAACACAAAAGTGAAGGAATTACTTACCCGTTGAATCTGAGTCTGGAGGGCAGCAGGATTATCATAGCAAAAATAGCTACCTAGAAAAAAAAAGAGCAAATATTTTACAAGTAATGACAATCTTCATATAAAATTTTCAAGTTATAATTACTACTCAAAAATGATTTTTTTGTTGTTGCTTTTATTTTTGAGACAAGGTCCTGCTATGTAGTTCAGACTGGTCCTGAGCTCAAAGTAATCCTCCTGCCTCAGTCTCCTGCCATCACACCAGGCCTTTAAAAAGTGATTTTAATGTTTATACTTAAGGTTCAAGAGCTGGCACTATGGAAACATTTTTGGAACACTTTCATATCTACCAGTATTTTCTAAGTTGTAGCCAATAACTTCTAGTTTTGTAGCGTGCATACAGCAAATACTGGTAGTCTAAATTAACATGTCAGTAATTACTTTTATTTTCTTCACATGTTCCTTATCATATTAATGCCGTAAGAAAGCAGCTGTATTTTCCTTAAAGCTACAAACACTAAAACTTTTACAAACATCCTCAGCAGTTTCATGCCGTCAGCCAAGGCCATTACTCATCTTAAGAGCGAATGAATGGAGTTCAGCTATTCTGACTAATCATTATTTGAAACGAATTCTAATTCTATTACAGTGCTATGAATTAGGGAAATAAAACAGAGCACTAAGGAATCAACTCATAGGGAGTTAGGAGAGACATGTGGAAATTTTAATATTGATGTACTAGAACTTATTTGAAGACAAAATTACAATTTCTTCAACAGACTAGAAATTAATATTGCCCTCAATGGAATTTACCAAAACTAAGCTGTCATCTTGAGTAGAGGCAAATTCTTAATGTGTAGTGTTTTTCTTAACTTTTGTTTCTAAACCGAGAAATTTATGGTTCCTGCCTTAATTCCATATAAGGCAGTCAAGGTCATGTTTTAAAGTTAACATATGGAACCACCTAGTCTCTCCAAAAGAAAAGCTGGAAGCAAAGAGTTGCAAAGAAATCAAAACTCAAAGCACCCTTATGCCTACCTTTTCGTGTTTTCTTTTTTAACTTTTATTTCCAGTATATGTTTGCAATACTTAATAATCATATTCACCTTAGGGAACTGTTACAAGTAAGTATCTCATCTCAAATTTTATTTTACTGCCCCCACTCTTCCCTCTCCTTCCTTAGTTCCCCCTTCCCATCTCTCCAAAGTATACTTCCCTATTTCCTACCATCTCTTTTATTTTTGTTTTCTCATATAAGAGAAACCATATATTTAACCTTCCATATCTAATTTATTTCACTTACATTATGGTCTCAAGATCCATCAGTTCCCTACAAATAAATCGACCCTTCTTTACGGTTGTGTATACACAAGAAATACATTCAAACAATAGCATAAAGTTCCCAAACCACGATGTTCCTAAAACTGCTGTTTCTATCTAGCCTCTGGAAAAACACCTTTCATACCAAACTAATATTAGCATTACAATAGTCGCTAAATGAATTAAACTGGAAACTCTGCTCAAGAAATTGCTGACTAGTCAGATTGCTAAGTAAAACATGACTACCTCAAATCCAGTACGATTCCTTCATCTAAACTACCAGCAGGAGACACTCGTAAAGTGGGAAAGAAATATAAACGACTGCTAATGGAATCTTCACTTATACACAGGTCATTTTGTTTTCTGGTTTTAGAGGGGGAAAAGTTAACTCTTTTGGAATCTCTTCTGAGCACCATATGCATTTCCTCCATACCTGTGTCCCCAGGGGAGAGCCGCTGTCCTCCAGGACTACTAGCAGGACAAGTCATCCCAGCTCAGTGCCTCGACCCCACCACGGACTGGCCTGGGTGTGGCCATGCAAGGAAAAAGGGCAAGACACCAGCTGAAGCCCGAAGCCGTGCTGAGACAGGCTGGCACCCGTGAGCTCTGTGGGGACTTGGCCCGGAGAAATCGGGAATTCACTGCTCACTGGCCCTACCCACCCGGCCGGCTCACCGAAGCCCAGAAGACACATCAACAGCAACACCAAAAGCCGGTGCGCTAGGCGGCTGGGGTCGCAGACAGCCGACAGCGCCCTGGAGGCGGCAGGGGCTCCGCTGCGGGCCTCGTGGGGACCGCCTGCCAGCAGTGCCTGCGCTTCCTCCTCCTCCTCCTCCATCACCTACGAGACACAGACACAAAAGTCCGCACAACTCCGGAGCAGGAAGCGAAGTGGCAGGTGCCTGGCGGAGACTGGGGTCATGTGATCGCGGCGGTCACGTGACCGGGCCGCCAGTCACGCAGGGCTGCGCTCACGTGACGGCGTGGAGCCCGACGGGGCGGGGCGAGAAGGAGAAAGCGCGCGGTCGTTTATTTTCTGGAGCGCGGGCTTCTGCAGGACCGGGCGTCCTTAGGCGCCCTCTCCCGGGCTTGCCGGGTCTCCTGCCCTGCCCTCACGTTCACCCTTGGCGCGGCTGCGCTGAGAGAACGTGCGCCTCTCGCCCGGCTCCACGCCGCTTCTCCCGGGTGACCGCCCTGCGCTGGGGACCGCAAGACTGACGCCGCCCTTCACTGCGCCGCGCGGCCTGCCTGGCTTTGAGTGCGCTTAATGCTTCCCGACTCCGAGCAGCTTCGTGCCCAGCCGGGCGCCGAGGACTGGAAATACGAAAGGGGATGAGGCAAGCTGTCTGGCCTCAGAGGTTACCGGTTTAGCTGGAGAGTGACCGACCCTCTTAGCCACGTGGCGAAGGAACGACGGGGGAGAGGGTGGACACCGCGGCAGAGCAGGCAGCGAATTCCACAGAAAGGCTTCGTTTCTAAAAACTCAGTTTTTCAACACAGCCTCGCCTTTTTTTTTTTCTTTTTAATGGATGTCCAGAGATTTGCCAACAGTTTTGAGGGTTATAAAGCTAGAGGCTAAATAACTGAGTTCGTATTAGGGAGTTGCTGCAGGGGTGAAGATTAGAGAGGACCAGGTTTTATCCTGGAGAATGACAGTGTGAAGGGACAGAAGCAGTACTTGGAAGGTAAAATGGGAGTGATTTCAAATAATAGCAGGTGGAGCCTTAAGAGAAAAGACTTTAAAATGTCTCCCAGATGCTGAGCTTGGTTCCCCAATAGAGGTCAAATATAGAGGGGAAAATATAGGCGAGAGTACCAGAGGAAGTAAATCAGTTTGGAATCCTATGTCTATATAGCGCTACACTTCCCATGTTCCATTTTCTCCCCTGCTCCCAGTGAAACTCTTGCCAAGATGAGTAACAACTCCAGCTTTCCAATTATGGTGGTTACTTCCCTGTTTATATTTTACTCTGCTACTCAGCATCATTTTTTGCAAATGAAATACCCTCTCGTTTTGGCCTCCTTGATAGTAGTTAGCTCCTCCTATCCTGCCTCCCCTTCCTCCTCCTGCTCCTCTGTTTCCTGGGTTCTCTCGTTTGTTGTCTGATTTGTCTGCCCTCCTTTTTCTACCTAGACTTTGCAAACTTTGTCCAAGTGCTACAGTACACAGACCTGGCTGGGCTCTCTCCAAGTCAACTATTCCCAAGTTTTAAGTATCCTTGCTGTGCTAGCCAATAGGTAAATAGTACTTACCATGTGTGCTTTTTGAGCACTTGAAATACGGTTAAACCAAATTGATGTGTAGTAAGTGCAAAATATATAGCAAGTTCCAAAGACTTAGTGTGAAACAAAGCATGTAAAAAAAAATAATAAAGCGTGTAATACATTGCTAATTTCTATACTGATTATGTGGTGAGATAATATTTTACATATTTTGAACTATTATTTAAAATTCAATTTGGTTGCCCAACCAAATAATTTTACCTATTTTTATTTTTTCTTTGATAGAAAAATTTAAATTATATATGAAACAAACCTTATATTCCTATTTGTCGGTGCCAGCTATATACTGTGCCTTCCAAAATACCTCCATTCCAGACCTCTCGCATTAAGATTCGTATGCCAACTGCCCATTTGACATCACCATGAGGACACCGAATAGACATCTCAAATTTCTTACACTCAGAATACAATCCTTGAGTTCTCACGCATGCTATATTTGCCGTAAGTGCTCCCCAACAAAGTAAATGGCACTTTTCTCCACTGGTTGCAAGTCACAAGGCTGGCCACATCATGACTTACTTTCCTTTCTCCCAAATCTCCACTAGCATGTCAACTCTTCCAGCGCATATGATAAATAATGCATGTGCTCCATCATTAATATTTTTGTCAAAATGATGTCACTCAGATAACTACAATAAATTCAGAATTTTTAATTTTATTTTTAATGAGAAATACATGCTTCTGGTATAACATTCAGCCAGTAGCAACAAAGATAAAGCAAGTTTTTCTGCTTTAGATAAAGCAAGTTTCCCCTATCCCTAGAAATCCCTCACTAGTGTTTTTTTGTTTGTTTTACAGGTATTGACTCGGCCTCTTGTAGTGCTGGGATTACAGGCATGCACCACTGTGTCCCCCTTCATTCTTTAAAAAAGAAAAGAATTACATTGTATGGATGTGCTGATACATGTTTAAATTGCTTCCCATATTTTATTGAATTGCCTAGACAATGAGCATGTCACATATGTTGACTTTGCCTGTAGGATGGTTTTTTTTTGGTTGTTGTTGTTTTGTTTTGTTTTGTTTGGTACCAGGAATCAAACTGACAATTTTGCATTTGCCAGGCAGACACTTACACCACTGACCTAAATCCCTGGCCCTGTACGATGAATTTTTAAAACCTCAGTTGCTAGTCAGTAAGTAGTATCAAATTGTTCACTTTAAAAGTTATTCCTATTTATAATTTTGTCAGCAATGCATGTAAGAGCCTGGTTACTATACCTTCCTTAGTCAAGCTTGCTTTTAGTTTTCTTTGGTGTGCAAATTAGTGAAAAATGCCTGTCATCATGCAGTCTCAATTTGCATTTCTGTTACATCAAAGGAAACTGAATCTCTTTATTTTTTGCAGTGCTAAGGATCAAACTCAGTCTCATATCCTAGGCAAGTGCTCTAACTCCGAGCTATATCCCCAGCACCCTGAACTTCTTTTTAGATAGTCTTTTATATTCTCTTTTCTATGAATTCACTTTACGGCCTTTATTTTTTCTGATGAGTAACTGAGAGTTTTTTCTTTTGTTATTGACAAAATTAGTTCTTCATTGCTGGTATAAGTCACAATTTTTTCAGACTCTGTTCATGGTTATTTTTTTTCCATCTACTTTTAATGCCAAATTATCTCTTTTTTAAATAAACTTAAGATGCTTGCTCCCCACATGAGATTTTTAGCAAACTGAAAGAGAATGAAACAGAACAATGAAAACAACCTGGGTTTCAAATCATGATAATTAACAATGGCCACTGCCCTTCCTTTTTAGACAATTCCTTCCCTTTCACTTTTTCAGATCCCAGTAACTGCTTTAGTTTTATATTAGGGAGGCAACTTGCTATTCAACTAAGTGATTCTGAACCTTTTTACCCCTGAGCATGATCCTAAGTTGTATCCATTTGCCTACAAGAACCTCAAGGTTTTCTTTCTTTATAGCTGAGTACTTTTCCATTGTATAAAAGTGTCAAGGCTTTCTAAGCAATCTGCAGGTGGTAAGTAAGCTAGCCGCACTTTTTTCTGGTTCCCTGTCATGTACAGAATTGTTTTCTCATCTTTATCTTTCAGTCTGTAAATCTCCTTTCAAGTTAAATGTATTTCTTACATAGAGCATCTTGATGGAACCTATCTTCTGATCCACCCTGCCTGTGTTTCTTTTTATTAGTGTATCGAGGCCATCTATGTTAGTGATTATGGCCAACCTTCAATGCCTCATCTCTGCCCTGCTATTTTTCTGCCATTGGCTTGCTACTTTTCCCCTTCATCCCACTGTCTGCCCCCGTTCAATGAGCCCCCTCTGCCTGAAACCATGATCTTTGTTTCTCTTTCTCTAGAATGTCCTTCAGTATTTTTTGTAGAGTTGGTTTGGTGGTCATGAACTCCCCCAGTTCCTCTTTGTCATAGAAGCATCTTGTTTCTCCATTAATTTTGAAAGATAGTTTTTCAGGGTACATCAATCTGGATTGGAGGTTATTTTCTTTCAGGACTTGGAATACTACATTCCAATTTCTTGATTTGATGGTTTGTGTTGAGAAGTCTATCGTGATTCTGATGCATTTTCCTTTATAGGTGATCTGTTGCTTTTCTCTGACAGCTTTTAATATTCTATTCTTGTGCTGAATTTCTGGGATCTTTATTATATGTCTGGGTGTAGCTCTGTTTTGGTTACAGCTAGCTGGAGTTCTGTATGCCTCACTTATCTGAATATCATTTCCTTTTCCTGTGCTTAGGAAGTTTTCTTTAATTGTTTCTGTAAATAGCCTTTGTATTTCATTTGTGTTTACCCCTGCTCTTCACTTACATTTTTTATTCTTAAGTTATAGATCCTCTTGCCATCTTCTAGCCTTTGTATTGTTACTTCCTGGTTCCTTGTTATTTTTAAGAGATCTTTCCTTTTGTGATTGCAAGCTGCAAACCAGTCTTCAAGGTTTGATGGTCTAGTTTCTTTCAAGCACTTTTGCGAACTTTCAATGGAGTTTTTAATTTCCTGATAATCTCTTTGATTCTAATATTTTATGTATTCTAAATTTATTTTATATTCATCATTGAAGGTTTCCCTCAGTTTTCTATACTTCTCCGTTTTTCCATCTGTGTCTTCTTTAGAGGTGGTTAGCAATTCCTTATTATGTTTCTCATTTCTTCTTTTACCTGAGATAGTATTTCTGTTCCAAGTTCTTTTATAGGCTCTTGAAGTTGTTTCTTTATTTTAGTTGTTGTTGCTTCAGAAACTTCAGGTGTGCAACTCCTGAGCTCTTCTGTGTTTACCTCTCCTGGACCAGAATTGCCTTTTGCTTCTTCCTCTTGTCATGTCCCTGGTTTCTTCCAGACAAGTGGGTTATGGGGTCTCCGGCACTTTCTGTGTTGGTTATTTCTCTGAAGCATACTGGCTAGGGATAGCTGATGGTGACCATTGGGTGCGCTGGTGTAGGGCTATCAGTGGCTAGTGAAGTACAAGCAGGCGTGGGGCAGACTGTGCCTTCCTCCAAGTTGGTTAACTGCAGGGAGCCCTCATCACGTTAGTATGCGAGGGTGGATGGGCCTGGTTGGGGAAACCTCGGTGGTAGCTGTTGGATTGCACACAGAGGCAGCATTCAATCCAAGCAATTTCACCAGTCTGCTCCTAGAGTGGCTGAATGAAGTCTGCTGCAGTTCTGGCTCCGGGCTTATCCTGCCTGACTCCAAAATGGCCCCTGGCCAATTGCAGGAGGACTGAGTTCCCCACACTTATCACCATCAAGTGCGGTTGTCTGTTCTACTCTTCCCCTCTGCCACTGTGTTTCCCCAGGGAGGCCTTTGGGCTTGCCAGCCACCAGCTTCACGGTGACCATGCATCCCCAGGTTCCAACAGCACTTCTCCAGAAGATCTCTTGATACTGGCAGTTCAAAGCCAGCCTGGGCAACATAGCAACACTTGGTCTCTTAAAAATTATTTTTCAGTAGCTTTTATTGGTCTCTACTTCCACTGTTGCATTCTATGATACAGCTTTCACAAGAAATCAAAATGATCTTTTAAATTAGTCAGGGTTTGATTTTTCAAATGAGAGAACCATTCAGTATTTAAACTACAAGGCCAAAACTGGAATTTTTTGTGCATTCTAAGAAAAAAATATGCCGACTAAGTGCAGTTTCTCCAAGCAGAGCATGCTGTTGATTCCACGTGGGGCCTTTGAGAAGTAGGGAGTCCAGGATAAGTAGCAGCCTTTCAGAGGCAAAAGAGTTTGACATTCCCCCCACCCCATGTAGAAGAATGGGTAGTATGATTTAGTAACCTCTAGTGAATTTATTGGAGTGAATCTGTGGTCAACTGGTATTTAAGGAAGGAGCATTATAAAACTAGTTTAATCAAAGCAGTTGTTGATTATTCAGATAGGCTTAAAACTAGATCTAGGAGTATGGAAACTTGCTTTAGTTCTCAGGGTTCTTTTTCTAAAGATGTGGGATGGGAGGGACTGGCTCACTGCTTGCAGCCCTGGATTCACCCTCAGTAACCCCCAAAAGTAAAATAGGAACATCAGAAAGTAATGTGACCCAAAATTTCTCTCTGAGCACGTAGGGGACATGGAAGAGCACTTGAATGAATAGCAACTCGCTTGTGCCCTGTGTCACAAGTAAGACTTTCTCCTTCAAATTTCAGGGTTATTTAAACAGCAGTGGAGGGAGTGCACTCTTTTGCCTTGGGCCAGGCATACATACTGAACAAATGAGAAAGGAAGGAATCCTGTTCCTTATAATATAAAGCCAACTAATAAATGTAGAAAGGGTGAGGGAAATACAAGGTCACTATTTGCCAAGCATCATAATTGGTTTAAGCAAGAATGTTGTCACTGAAATTAATGGATAAAAATCTGGGACATAATGGAAACCTTACATGATTTTAAAGTATCTCATCAAGTACTTACTACTAATAAAAGAAAATAGTGCCAAAACGTGGCACAAACCACTTTAACCAAGCAATCAAAGGCAACATTACCAGGATTTAGACAAACTGACATCATGTTCCTCCTGATATATTATGAAACTGAAAAAAGCTTAGTGCTCTGTGATATATCTGTCAAAAATTAATAGCCAAATATGATCAAGAGGAAATATCACAAAGTGAAAGGCAAAACAGCTAACTCTACCCTCAAAAAGTCAATGCCATAAAAGACTAAGGAGCTGGCTTTCACTGAGAGACCGAAGGAGACATGAGAACTGAATGAAACGCATGACCCAGAATTTCATTTGCTACAGAAAACATTATTGGGACAGCCGACAAAAGCTGATTAAGGCCTATGGTTAAATAATGTATATCCTGTCAAAATTAATTTGCTGATTTTGAGAATCATACTGTGATTAGGGAAGAGAAAGTACTTATTTTTAGAAAACACACTGAGCTACTAGAAATCAAGGAACAATGTACCTGCAGCATACTCTCAAATTGTTGAGAAAAGCTGTATACACATGTGAACAGAGATAAAGGATAAAATCAATGCATCAGAATGTTACTGTTTGGAGAACCTGGATATCACATATATCAAAATTCCTTTTACTATTCAGACAATTTTCTTTAAGCCTGAAATTGGGCCTCTTGAGAGCCTTGTGCATCTTTGCATCACAAGCATCTACCACAGAGCCCAACTTGATAGATGCTTGAGTGGATGTTGGTCTTAAATCCAGTGTTTCACCGGAAGGAGTAAAACAAGGAAAGTTTACTACCATGGAGACACCTGTTATGCCCAAACAATAAGCATCTTATTCTAACTACACTAATTTATTTTCATCCAAGAAAACCGCACTTATTTTGCCATTATTGAGCAACAGAAAAATATGAGACTGACTTGGTGATATAGGGTATAGACTTGACCATCTGGGATCACTGGATTGAGCACCCTTCTTTCATTGATATGAGATAGCAATTGCCTCTGAAGCAAAGTTAACCCCATAGAAAAGAAGGCAAAGTTCATCTCCAAAAGTTCAGTTCTGGGCAGTCTTCACATGCCTTCG